CACCCGGACGCTTGCGCTCCGGCGCCCAGCGCTGCGCACCGTGCCGCCGGGTGCCCCCGCAAGGCCCCTCCCGGCTTTCCGACCCGCGCGTCCTGTGGCCCGGCCCTCCCTGGCGCTCACCTCCCTCTAGCCTTCCGGGAGCTGGACTGGGCCTCCAGCTTCGGGCAGCTCGGGACAGTGTCCTGAGACTTCGGGAACCCGAAACCTGGCGTCTGGCTAGCCACAAGTTCTGGGCGCGCCCGAAGCAGAAAGGTCTTGATTAAACTCCGTACCTTTCATAGCCGACTTACCATGCTGGGGTTGGGAAGATGGAAGGAGCTCAGGGAAGGTCTCTTAGCAGCACAGTTGCCAAGTCTTGCTTTGTGTTTCAGCTTTCTGTGGTGTTTTATTTATCCTCCCACACCAGGCAAATCCAGCCCCTTGCTCCGTGCCTGAGACTGTGGGTGGCTGCCATGCTTGCGGAACGAACGAATGAAATGGAGTGGGCTGCAAGGGCCTGCGCCTGGTTCCAGGGCTCAATTGGACACCGTAATAGTTATCTTCCCAGGGCCAGCCACGCCCTATCCAGGTCACTGACCTAATTCCGGTCTCTCTTCACTCTGTCCCTGGTTGCATCCCACAGAGCTAGAGGAGCCTCTTCTCTAAAGGGGGAAACTACAGCCGAGAGGGGCTGGGGGCAGAGGCACGGACCAGGCCTATGCCTTACCCCTGGTTCCACGGCCCTATTTCCTGAGCATGAGTTTGGCCAGCACAGAGCTGATCACTTGGAGTGCTGGGATGGTGCCCTTCCCTCGGAGGAGTCACTAGGGCTCAGCACAGAGGAGGGGCTCAGTAAACATTTGGCACTGAGACTGGGCAGAAGGTGGCAGGGATTTGTGGAGCCTGGCAGAGTACAGATGGAAGTTCACATACCATATGTCTAAATATTTGCAGGTTATAAATCAAGCTAACAAAATGTGAAATAAAATATGTTCTAGCCTTCTACTTTGACAAATACACTTTCTTAATAACATGAAAGGCCTCCTTTGGATGTAGACTTTTCTGGCTCCTGGGACCCCGTACTGGAATATGGCAATACAGGAAAAGGGTCCCCTAGTGCCTGGTGTGTCCCCCACCCTTTCCATGCTGCCTCTGTCCAGTCCCCTAGGGGGTCGTGTGTACACTTGTGAACGGCTCAGCCTGCATAGGCAAGTTCTGCCCCTCCCACCTATCCCTCTACCCACCCTGAGAGCTGCCCCTTGGTCACTGAAGCCTTTGAGCTGGGCACCCCAGTGTGCAGTCTGTTCTCAAGGGCTGGATCTGGGAATGAGGCTCTCATGTCCTGGAAGTAGGCTCAGGGCTATCTGTGTGGGGCTCTGGATGCCCTTAATGTGACCCAGTGGAGGGGATCCAGGTTCTAGGTGGACACATCCCTTGGCCCCATGTTCTCCTCTCCCTATGATAAGTTAGCTATAGAAGAGCCAGAGCGGGGTTCAAAGGGTGGGAACCACTTTCACCTGGGTCTAAGGGTGGTATTCAATTACTGAGCTATTTTCAGCCAAACTGTTCACTTCCTGGAGACTCAGTGTGGTATGGCAGAAAATAATAATAATAATTTAAACTGCAGCAGGCAATTATTTTAAGGTGGCCGTATAATTTTCTTCCAGAGAAAATTTCTTCCAAATTCTTTTTAAGAGTGATAGAGGACCCTAGTTGGAAGGTTTGCTGGGGGATCAGGCACAAACCAGGACTGCGCCAGGCAACCTAGGATGTATTGTTCTGCCCAAATATGGAGCCCTGTGCACCAGGCATTGCTTTGAGTGCTTTGCATGTTCTCATTTATTCAAGACTTGCAACAAATCTAGGAAGCAGCTGCTGTTATTTCCCCCATTTTATGAGAGAGAGAAAGTGACTTGTGTAAAGCAAATGGAACACTAGGGACTCAGGAGTTGGGCTTGAGCTCCTGTCCTGAAGTACAAGCATGGTGTTTGGCAAACTCCATGATCTTCAGGATCTGTCTCTGTTGGGTGGGGACAGCTTGGTTCTCTGACTCTCTGGCTCACCTTCTCCTTCTCCGGGGGTGCTGTGTCATGCACTCTGAACCGTGGTGGAGGGGGTCCTGGGAGCTGGAGCCCTGGCCGTAAAGGCTTGCCCTGATCTGTGATAAGACAGAGGAGGGGCCCTTTGGTTGGAGTCAGTGGAAACTCTTAATGGGAAAATCTCTAGGAGGAAGTGTGCTCTTCTAACTTTCAAGAACAGTTCAACTGTGGAGACATAAATACAAATTAATTAAACAGTTCAATTGCCAATGGCTGTTTAATTTCAGGAACAATCCCTATGGGATACCTCCTGTGTGCTGGCCGGTTCCCAGGGCTTTGTCACTACTACCGTTCCTGTTGATTTTGTAGTGCTGGGAATTGGTCCCAGGACCTTAACGTGTAAGGCAAGTGCCCTACTCCTGAGCTACTCCCCTCCTCTGTTGACCCTTTAATCCTGGCCATGGTGCTGGGAAGTAAATATTACTATTAATCCCATTTACAAGTGGCAAAGCCTGGATGCTGTTTTAAACTGCTGTGAGAATACCGACAGCCCCGGGACATAGGTGATTCCCATTTTGTATGGGGAAATGGAGGCACAGGGGAGGTAAATGAATTTTCTGGGTTTCACCGCTAGTAAGTGGCCCAGCCAGGGTTTATGTACAAATAGTGCCCTCCCTGGTCAATAATCAAGAGCTTCCCACCTGTGTGGATCAGTGTCTAGGCCAGAGGGGAAGGGTGTGGGGTTTCTGTAGGCTCCTAGAAGTTACTGTCAGTCCTCATGGCCTGAGGTCAAGCTATTCCTCTCTGGAGCCTTCTATGTGCCCAGGGTATAAGTGCCGCACCCATAATGGAATGTGAGCGTATCTTTCCTAAAGGGACCTATTTCTCAACTTTCTGGGCAACCCATTTTACAGTAAGTTCTCTTTGCTTACAACTAGGAAAATTCACTGAGGATAAGAAGCCTGGCCACTTTTTATTTTTTATTTTATTTGTTTGCGGTACTGGGGGTCCAACCCAGGGCCTCACGCATGCTAATTATGCCCTCTACCACTGAGCTGCATTTTCAGCCCTCAGCCAGTTTTTAATCAGAAATAATTGCATTCCGTGTGTCTAAATTCCCACCAGCTCTTGGGGAGTGGGCCCAAAGCAATGCGGCTGGACCTGTCTCCAGCCTGGTCCTGGAGCTGCCGGCTGGGGAGTGTCAGCGCAGCTGCTGCGTGGGAGTTTTAGTCCAGCTTCCCCCGTTTTTGAGGTGGAGACACCAAGGGCCTAGGCTTGGTGTCTAGAGTATCTTTATGCCTGCACATGCTTTTCCAAGGAGATAAAAGGAGAGATTCTTTCCCTGCCATCATGGCCTGCACTGTGCCAGGTGTGGCTGGGCAGATGTGACAGCTGTCCCCTGTGAGCTGCCCACCTGGCGTGCGTGTGGGGAGGACTCAGCAGGAAGGGACTAGGAGAACTGGTTGGTCCTAGCTGGTCATTTGTGTTTGTGTGGCCCCTCTGGGCCTGGCATTTGTTTCCTAAAGGCCCCTGTGAGAATCTGGAGGAGCTGCAAAGTGGCACATCAAGTTCTTGGAAAGACTCGTATTTGTTCCCAGCTCCCCTCACCTCTCTGAGCCTTGGTTTCTTCATCTGTACAAGGGGCTCAGAAGAGATGTCAGATGTCAAGGCACAGCATGTGTGAAAACCTTCAGAGTAGAGGGCCCAGTTTCAGCAAATGGTGAGCTTGTCAGTTCTGTGGTTAAGCAGAAGTTGCCCAGGCCTGGTCTGCAGAGATGTTTTGCTTGGCCTGGCCAGTGTTTTCAAATGTATGGATTTGTTGACAACATTTCACCATTGGGAGATTTTATATAAGGAGCTGGAGTCCCAGTTTCTCTTGAAAAAAACGAAACAAAACAAAACAAAACGGGGACATTTGGCAACACAGGACCTACCTTCCCCAGTGAAGAAGGACTGCACCGTATTTTATACAACTCACTCCTGTGCCTCCAGCCCCTGACAGAGCCCCCTGGAGAGGATGGGAGGGCCAGAGACTATGACTGAGGCTATGCATCACATCTCATCCTCACCAGCAGTTTTTAGTACCCTTCTTTTCCCAATCAGTAAACAGAGGCTTAGAAAATGGGAGCAAGTTGCCTGAGATCACGGAGTTAGCAGATGGTACAACAGGACTTCTAGTCAGGGCCTTGTCTCTGCTTCTGTTACGAGTTTGCCACCTTCTGCTTAGCGTGGGCCTCTGGCAAACTGGTTGTGGCCTGCTGAGGAGCCAGACTTAGGCCCGGCCTGGCAATGCTTGTGGTTCTCGTCCTTGGCTTTCAGATCGCTGGGGACTGTGGGGTTCGGGCAGGGGTCCAGGGGCCAATGTGCACACCTAGAATTCTTGGGATAAAAGTTTCTCTCATCTATATAATAGGATCATAGTTTTAAATTTGTTATTATGAAATATTCAAAGACACACAAGTGGAGGGAGTAATAGTCTAATAAACCCCAACATGTGCATCATCCAGATTTCACAGTGATTAATATTTTGTCCTTCTTCTGTCCCATTTTCAATAAATCTTTAGTTTTTTAAAATTTAACTTTATTGGTTTTATATATATATATATATATATATATATATATATATATATAAAATGATAACATTCATTGTATGGAATTTGGACCTGTACATGATATATCTTGATTCTTCTTTTTTCCCCTTTCTCTCTCCTCCCCTGAACCTCTCTTCCCCTCCTTATTTACAAAAGCTTTGTTTCCATAATAAGTCTTTATTGAAATCTTTTAGAATTCTGCTGCTGTCTTTCCCGTCCACACTTCAGTGTACATTTCCAGAACTAGTGGTGGGCCAGACCTGGTAGTGTCTTTCTGTTCCCAATTCTGTGTTCAGTGACATCTTGTTGGCAGCTTGAAATCAGCCACAGCTGGAGTGTTTACACCGTGAGAATTGGCAACCACTACCAACCAGGCCCCCTCCACTTCTCCACCTCAGAAAGCCTGTTGTTAAACATCTCCCTGCCCGCACACTGATGCCTGAAACACACAGACAGTTTCTTGTACAATCACTGAGCTATTATCTCACGTAACAGAATGAACACTAACATCCAAAACGAATGTCCCCAGTAGCTGCAAAACCATGTCTTTCCAGGTGTGGTGCGCAGCTATAATCCCAGCACTCAGGAGGCTGAGGCAGGAGGATTTTCACAAGTTTGAGGGCAACCTGGGCTACATAGTAAGTTCAAGATGAGCCTGAACTGCCTAGTGAGACCCTGTCTCAAAAAACAAAACAAAAACAAAAACAAAAACAAAAAACCCAACCCAACCCAAAACAAAACCAAACCAAAAGCATGTCTTTCTGTAGATGTTCTGTCTACCCTCAAATGACGCAAATGAGGTCCACCCATGACATTTGCTTGTAAAGTGTCCCAGTTTTTCCTCAGTCTGGAGCAGAGCCCATCTATCTTCCCTATCTGCCCTTGATTGTGGAAGTTGCAGGAGGATCTGAGGGTCCCCGTTCTGCATTGCCTGCTAGTGCTGTCAGTTAGCATGTCCCTTCTGTCCCTGTGTTTCCTGTACCTACTCCAGGGTCTGAATAGGTTCAGCTTAACTTTTTTTTCTGAGTGGGGCAGGAGGGAAAGGCAGATTTATAAATGATGCAGGGTGTAGAATTAATTTTCCAATGTTTGTAGGTGATTTTGTGGTAAGTGAAATAC